GTCGTAGAATAAATTAGAAAAAATAGTTTGTTTTTCAATTTTTGAAATTTAAAAAGTTTTAATGAATGTAAAGTTGCACCATTGAAGTTGCGTTCTTTTCTGTATTCGAATTTAAAGAAAAATTCTGAGCCAACTTTAAGAACATTTTGAAAATGTCAAAGGGACTTCATGTAAAGTACCAGAAATACGTAAATCCTTGAGTCAGGTAAGGTCGATCAAGAAATATTTATTTTGAAGATAATCCCATTTATTATTCAGGCTCTAGTGTTTTTTCAAGCCGAACAGAGAAACGGGCGGATAGACAGAGTGCGAAGAAAAACACTTTTCGGCTTCAGGGACCGCAAAATGTGTATATACAGCAACATCTCAACAGTCCACAGCATTATGTAACTTCCTCTTTACTATATTACCCCATATAAACTACATATACCCCAATGTTAAATGGTAGAATTACAAAAGTATTAAACAATGCAGTAATATATTAAATATCAATATGTGAGAAAATTGAAAAGAAAGTACGTATTTGACTCACAACCACACTGAGAATTGAAAGTGGTAATGATTCTATCATTTGCAATACCTAATTATAATAGTCTGAAGTCATATTATGTTGATTTTAATAAATAATTTTGAAAATTTATTTACTCTGAAAGCATTGAGAAAAGAAAAAAATTAATTTATTATGAAACTCAATTATTCTATACTGTTATTTTATGTCGTCTGAAAGATATTTAAATTTTAGCAACAACGACCTTGTAGAACTGCAGGCACAGTACTCACTCCAAGCTGCGTATGACTGTTGCTGAAATATAAACAGGCAATTCACAATCGTATGAATAGCTAAGTGAGAAATGAATGCTGAGGCAAACAAATCAAGAGCACATTGTCAGCGCAGTTAAATCGAGGTCTACGTTTGCATTAAACGGAATAGGGTAATTGCTTCGGCATCAATACCCGTCAGTTATAGTGTTTCCCCTCTACAAATGCGTTTGCAAATCATGCTAGTGAATACATTGTTCTATACATATTCTCTGCGAAAAGAAAACAGTTCATATTTATCTTGAGATCTATTCTTCTCTGAAGTCCACAGAATAAAATGATATGCTAAAATATTTTACTAATCGGATAACGTTTGAAAATGGAATAAATCAAACTATCGAGTGAAATGGTATACAAAGTGTGGTTATTAAATACATAAACACTAATAAAATATAAGATAGTTTGAGCATAAGTTAAAAGTGAGGAAAATAACAAATTTCACCCCAAGATAATCCAAGAATTTGAATTAACTAACATTAAAACTATAGATTTCTCTGTTAAATAATCGGACTATTATGTTATCTTTTGTGTCTAGACTTAAGAATTTTTTTAAGTTTAGACACCATTTTTGGCATCTGAGTTGACGATTCTATTATATTTATGCAATGAAGAGACAATTCTATACGTTGTAGTCATCAAATTGTTACTAATTAACAGCAGTTTTTAAATATTTTCATCCGCATAACATTATATAACGAAATAAATGTACCTAATAAGAACTGAAGGTACCTAATCTCTGTGTAATGAAAATTTCTACCAGAATATATCACATTTGTTTAAATATTGCAGTTTGTGTACTCAATGTACTTGAGCACAACTTCTTCCAGAAATGAGGTAGATTATTAATAGTCTCATTCGTCAGCCTATCCCACAACACACGCCTCCCATTGCGCCAGAATATTACACATCGTAAATTTAGCCTACATGTCTAAACGAGCTGTTATAACACAGACATGCCCGTAGGTATAAAGCGATATTACAGTTTGCAAATAGCTATGGCAAATACGTACACGGTTGCTTAACCGTTATTGAAAGCGAAATGACTTGCTATTAACATGTAAAATGAAACCGACATTAAGATTAAATACATGCAATGCACACACTGTTCTGTCACAAAGACTCGAGTAGGATAAGTGGTTGAAATTTCTGTCATATTTCCATATGCATGTGTTTACGGCGTATATTCTGTGTCATAATATATTAGGGGGCAAGTAATTCATCTGTGATGAGGAATATTCCGCTCAACAGCAGCTAATCAGTAGATGAGAGAGGTAAAGGCCAAATCTAGTGATTGTCGTTTTTATATAACAAAAAGGAACATGCGTACGATTACAGAAACGATCTCTCTCTTTCTCCCTCTTTTTCTCTCTGTCTCTCTCTCTCTGGTAAAGGGGATTATGTAAAGAAGTGTCGTATCAATCGTCCCTGCTGTAAACTCCGTGATGAAAAGCTTAACTGTTCGATACTGAACGTAGTTCCGGAATAGATTAATGTCTGATAAAACGAGAACAGCTTACGGAACGAGAAATATTGAAATTCCATTCTATGTTTCAGACAATTTCCACTGAGTATTAAATCAGTACCCATTATTTCTCATAAATTCACAAGTTGAAATACAACTCTGAACCTTGTATAAACGAGAGGCATGGTTGTCAGCAGATAAATTTCAATACTATAACTATTGTGTGAAATAAATTCAACCTACAGAGACACAAATAGAGTAACTATCCAAAATTTTTCCCTTCACATACAATTCCACACGTATCAATTTTATTCAATCAACCCCTATTGCTAACTCCACTACTCTAAATGCACAGAGGAATTAAAATAATTTAAATATATGATATAAATCACCATAAATTATGGATTCATTGAAATATATCTCACTAAGTATTGGTGATCGAGCCCCAGTTTATACTTGAAACGAAATGATTTATTTGTTGAATTTTCTTTCAAAAATGAATGGTAACAAAATATAATAGGATTTTAAACCAAAAGTAAATCAGAAAAAATAAAAAATAAATTAATGTCATGTTTTTGAATTCATATGGTTTGGAGTTGAGCAAGATAAATAGGGTAATATGCATAATGGTGAAAATTCTGTGAATGGTTTAGGCATTCGTGTTGTTCACATATTAGGAAATAGATGGACTGGCGTTTTGGAAAAAATGCCGTGTCAATGACATTAAAATGTGTTTTTCAGTCAATATCTAGTGTACATAGATTTTCAGTTTTATATAACTCTCTGTACACAACGCATACATGAAAATAAAAGGAAAATGCCCGAATAACATTATAAGTCATAAAAATACGAATACCTGAAGAAGAAGAAGAAGAAGAAGAAGAAGAAGAAGAAGAAGAAGAAGAAGAAGAAGAAATGTAAAGCACGAAAAAATTTCTAAACTTCAAGAAGATGAAATATTTATCTAAGGACCACCACAAGTGTACGACACGACAGAGCGCGCCGACAGCAAACAACCTGGGACCGAACCGAAGTTGGTGAACGGTTTTCACTACTCTCTCCACTTCCATCACTTCCCGTCCTCCCACCCCAACCCTCCACCCGTTGACCAGCCCGAACGGCTTAGGTGGGTCAGGGCATCACACTGCACTGCCTCCGACCAGAACGTCCTAGGGTCAAGACCCGACGGAGGCAGGATTTACGACATGCTTGATTGCTAGGTAGAATTCAACCTCTGTTTTGAAGATAATTCTAGAGGACGGCTGCTCCAATCGGTAGTTGTTCTTGGTTTCGCCGATCATCACCAGTTTGAATGCCGGAGCAGCGGGCTACGGACCGCGGGCGATAACAAACGGGCTACGGACCGCGCGCGATCTTTCGTTCCTCTTCCTTGTACTATCCTCACCCCCTTACTTACACTTACATGCACTACACTACCACTCATATCCAGAGAGCAATCGGGAACTTAGTTTTCCGTGGTTCGGGCGGCGCCCCGCTGGTGGCAGATACATCGTTGGGAAAAACCTTTCTAGTCGACGAGTAGGTCGACGCTAAATCTCATATTCCAGTGGTGGAAGAGAACCACCGTCTTCCGAAGGCAGACATTCACTGTACTTTCGCGACTAATGTCCTTAGCAGTTGACTGTCCCGGAAATATCAACCAGCTAATTCGTCGGTCGTAGTCACTTGTAACTTAGCTGACGTCTAAATAATAGTAACTTTTTAATGATGAAAATGTTTAATTGAATTTTAAATGTTTAAATGATTATGAAATGAGTCTATGATACGTAATTATGTTTATTTATTTTCAAGATACCAATTTTGAATACTATTAGCAGTTGTAACCTTCAAAGACATCATCAAGAATTGAGAAGACGTTACTAGAAAAATCCTGCAAAGACAGAGGCCAACTTATGGCCAATCAATAAAGTGTTTGTGTGAAATCAAGAAACAACAAGAAGTTTTCGAGAAGGCAAAATCTTGAGAGAAGTCCATGAGTCACTGCCTCTAGGAAGGACAAAGTTCGGAACAAACGCGCACCATACGAGCCGAACTTGGCTCTCACTTCTCCCTCCTCATCCCTCGACGCTCCTCACTCATCCTTTCCGGTTTCCTTACCATTATCCCAACTTGGCCAGGCACATTCAGTTCCAATTGATGGTGTCTTGCGACTAATATCACTTTTCATGAAAATCTGTTTAAAATATTTGAGAAATCGTATGGCATAAGAATAACTACTATCATTATTACGTTTACCTCTACACAATTTTGAAAAACTAATATAATGCTGAAAAATAGAGATTTTCGTGGAAATACTCGTTTTAGAATACCGTTTAGTGTCTGATACCTAAAGAAAGTTTACTTTTCTTTCATAAAAACATCGTTCGTCCGTGAATAACACCATAGTTTAAACCATTCAAAGGATTTTCTGAGAAACTGATATTCCCAGAACGATCTGGTCGGACTTAACGCGCGGAGAATTTGAAATGGTTATTTAATTTTGGCGGGTACTTCATAAGCCCTTATGATGTTTTTAAGAATTGGAACATGCAAACTTTAGTGGACAAATGTCTTCAAGAAAAACAAGAAGAAAACGAAGAAGAAGAAGAAGAAGAAGAGGAAGAAGAAACGTTTCGAGGACAGGACCACGACTCGCCGACTCGAGGAAGGACGAAACCGGCAACAAACGAGCGTCGCCGGAGCCAAACTTGGCGCTCACTTGTCCCTCCCCTCCTCCCACCCCCTTCCTTTCCTCGCCCGCTTCCCTCCACCCTCGCCCTCACCCTTTGCCCTCTGCCCTTCCGTGCCCTTTTCCCGCCCGCTAACTTCGCCGGCCACCACCGGGGCCATTCAGATCTAATTAACGCGAGGGCAATCAGAACCGCCGCCGCGCTCCTGAGAAATTCTCCGCCTGTGTTTTGCGCGGGAATCAATCTTGGGCCTCGAGTGTTCTGTTTGGAAGCCGAAAGGAGGAGGAGAGGGAGAAGATCGTGGAGAGCGGGGTGGCTCGGGCACTTGAGCGAACTTGTCTCGAGGAGAGGACAACATTAACATCCTCGGCGCGCTGCCTAGCCTACTGTCGAGGACGAGGGTACAGGCAACTTCGGTGCCCAAAAGCGCGCAGTAATTGTTTTATTCGATGTGGCGTTACTTTCTCACAGAGCGCCTCGAAGAGGGTGTAATCAACGGAAGAGACGGGAGGTTAATTTGCGTGGAGAGATTTCTCCACCTATTTGACTGTGGGGTTTTTAAGTCACTGTTAATTCTTTGCGCGAGTTATATCTTGATGTGAATTGCTTCTGCAGTTGTCTTCACTGGAGTACGAACACTGTAACGTAGTTACTGTGAGGCCAGAAACTAAGGAGAAACGTACAACTTTCTCGGATATATCAACTTATGTTTTCATGTTCAAGTTAATGTTTTACATTGCACATACGCATAAAAATGTTGTAACATATTTCCGAAAGAAGAATATATTAGGAGATAAACAAAAATGAAGGAAAAACCATAAAGTGACATACATCAAGAATGATGTTTTTTTTATTGTTTAATAAAGCCACCACCGGTAGCAATTAGCAAGTTATATTCTGATAAACCAATTCTTGTGTAGTAATTATGCCTCTTTGATATTGCGATCTTTAAGTACACTTACTTTTTGAGAAGATGTGGATGACCGGATCGTCGGTCTAATTTTCCCAAGGGCGACCTGAAGTGACGCTCTTGTGTAGGCAGCAATCTAATATTCAACAAAGCAATTGTTCGGTACACCAGGTAACAGCAATCTCTGTTGTGCTATCATATTATTTCCATGACAATAAAAATTAATTAAATACTTTAATAAATAAGTTTAGAAAATACTAAATTACATTTTTATTAGAGAATAAAAAAAAATTCTAATAAACATATAAATGTAAATATACATTCTTGTCATTTATATTAATAAAAGGCGCACTGTCCGTTCTGTTGGAACCGAAGATTGAACAAGTTCTTATACTATAATAACAGTTATTGGGACTATCACAGCGCATACTTTCTGGTATTATTTACAAATTTGCAAAATTTGCAATTTTTGAAAATTCAGAGATCAACAAAAATGAGACCTTTGTCGTTATTTTTAGTGTCTCTTGCTTCATTTGTAAAAAATATTTAATGAAAGAATTTGATGTGTTTTTTTAGAAAAAGTTTTTCTTATTAATTGCATTAATTTTAATCCCAAAATACACAAAACTAATATTTTTTTCAAAAACTTGTGCATGATCTTTTTTCAAAAGTTGATTTTTTAGAACTGATTTTGTTTATGAAAAAATCTCCATCTTCAATTTTGCTATTTTTAAATGTTACAGGTTTGCAATTTTCAAAAATACAGTGTTATTGCTTTCTATTATGAAAGTGGTTCCCCCTTATTTTCTAAATTTGTTTCAACCGAACTAGAAATTAAATATGTTATTATAAATTATTTTTCCTTGATTTCCATGAATGACACGTCATTCATGCTTTCTGTTTCTTCACTCCGCATCTCAGAACGCTGGTTCAAAGAAATAACACGATAATTTCTTGCTGCCAACGTACCACCAAGTTTCAATACTAAAAATACGCTGCTTAGCTTCTCGGCACGATTTCTACAAAAATGGTCGCGGCTCATCTGATTTTCAAATAACGCGAGCTCGTCGCGTCTGATGTGGAAAAATTGGATTCCTGGAAATCTGACAAAGGGTCAATTATGATGAGTCAAAATATCCATGAAGGATCGCCTTAAAAAGATTAAATGTTTGCTTCACTAAAATGTAAAGAGACATAGTCGAAATGCAACCTCAACTCACTTGAAACTTTTCACTCTGCCCTTCAAAGTTGCACTTCGTGATTAAATTGATGTTTCAAGAACTCACTCTCAGTTTCAGTCATTTGCATTCGAGAAATTACTATATCAAGATTTCAAACTATTAAACTCTTGAAATTTGTTCTGAAAATGTGTAAGTATTTTCTCTGTGGCTAACTACGAGGAATTTCCTTTCCATCCTGCATCATTTCATTTTTATTATAGTTCTCTTCTTTTTATTCTGCGGTCCTAACTATTAAGTCGCATTTTATCTCTGATTTATTCTTGTCCGGGCTTGTTCTTATCTGCATTCGTAAACCAATGGCATGGTCTCTAAATTCGATGATTTGTTTCCCTTGTGTCATCACTAAGAAAACACCAATAAAACATCAAAGTAACTCAGTTACATCACTAGCAATTTAAAAAGCTGTAATTTAAAATACTATTGATAAACAGTTTTAATAATTAAATAACATTTAGATTTTCAAACTCAATAAACACTCCTAAATTTAATTTAACTATACTAATAAACCTGCGTGTAATCAAAACCTTCATGTTGGTTTAAGGAAATACTCTTAGGCCTCTTCACTATTGAGGTAACAGCAACCTTTGGAATCATGAAAACTGTCAAATGATGTGCAGATGTACGTTCTTCATCCTTCAGTCAAAAAAATGTGGATTTCCAATGGACCTTTTGCCCTTTATATTTCTATCTATAATTATTTTCAATCATTGTTCTTTGACCTATTATAACATGTTCTAAAATATTGTCATTTCGTACTTTGTAAGCAGCAGATATCTGCAGCTAATTAAGATCAGATGGAATGCGTAAAACTCAGCTACATATTACCAAGGGATCATCTACTTTCTCGATATTTGTACCTACTATGTTACTAAATAAGATGTTTACAAATTTTCTGTAAAAGAAATACTTCACCCAAAATACTTCATTCATTACAGTTTGCTATTTCATGTACAAAACAATGATACTGTTTAATTAACATCAATTGTAAGTATTATATTGTATTGTGAACATCAATAACTTTCGTGATTTAAAATACATTTATCACAATACCTCAAAAACAAACTCTTGCTATCACTGTAACTCAATAATTCAAACTATATGAATCAAGATGTGTTTTTACTTTCTCTAGCAATAACAAAACATGCCTATGTATTTACCATATTAGTTAATTTATATTTCGTAGGCACAACAAGATACATAGTCCAGATAGCGAAAACTTACAATAACCCGTAAACCCGTAAACAATTTCTTGAAGTCTTCTTTGCAGATAGATCTGATCTTACAAGAGATTTCTTCGTACTTGAAGGGTTCGTGTGTAAAACATGGTAACCCATGTGGAAACGTTTGCAAAATATAAGGCAGAGAACATTTATGCTGTAAGGGATTTAATACATACATAATACGTAATTATACAACATCAAGGGTACATAAGGATAATACCAGCAGGGGCTAACTACGCGCCATAATATAAACTAAATGAAAATCACATTGAATGGAAAGCAGATTGAAGAGTGTGAAAAGATTACCATCACAAAAAACTACAACTTTGACGATTACCATCTTTAATTCGGGAGCCCTTCATTAGTGAAGTGTCAGGTGGTTAAAAGCTGAACGACTTCTTCTTCCGCGTGTTGTTTAATAGAACATCATCGTAACCCAACTTCACATTTAAATAACCACTTCTTCTCGACTCCATTGCCCTCCGAAGCCCACAAGTTCTTGCGAAGTGGCGTCCTTCCCGCCAGCAACACCGGCTCCTCATACGGCCAAATGTCCTCCCCGTTCCATCTGCCTGCGAAACTCCCCCGCCCCCCATCCCCCTCCGCCCCCCGTGCCGTCAACGCTCCGCTCGCGACCTCGGTTGGCGCCGTCATCTCTCAAACCCTACGCGCGCAAGCTCCGCCAACAGTCAACGCGCGGCTGGCGACAGTTCGGGAACGGCGGCGGCCGGCGCGCGAGAGCACGAGCGCCTCAGCGCCCGAGGGCCGGAGCGCCGTCGCCGCCGCTGCAAGTTGCCCCCGGAGACTTCGTCCCGACGCAGAAGCGACGTCCGGCGCCTGTGACGCCGTCGCCCGCGCCACGCAGATGCGCCGCCGACCCCGACGACGACATCGTCAACACTGCGTCGCCGACGGCGCACAGTGAAGCGAAAGCACAAATAGTTGTTCTGATTTTCAAATACTGCGAGCTCGTCGCGTCTGATATTGAAAAATTGGATTCCTGGAAATCTGACAAAGGGTCAATCTTTCGTCACGTCTGCCCACGAGGTAGTGAAACACATTAGTGATATCGAAAGCGCAAAGAGTTGTTGTCGAAAAGAACATATTAGCCTAAAAGTTATGAATATCATTAGGCCGTTATGAACGAAATAACGACAGTCTTTCACCCTGTTTATCATTCTTCACCCTGTTTATATCAAGATTTTAACACATGATATTCTGGATCAGCACTAGTTTTTCTAGCAGTGAATTAATCCGCACTGCACCGTTGACGGTGATAAGTGAGGCGAAAGTGCAAAGCGTTGTTGTCGAAGATAACATTTTCCCCTAAAGTCATTCATATCATTTGGTTATAGACGAAATAACGGGCTTCATTTGTGCAGTGATGCTGAAGTAAGCATTTTAACACATGAATACTTTTTAAACAAGGGCACATTTTTAAATTCCTGTGTTGTCTCTCGCTACTTAGCACTGAATGTAGTCCACAGTCTTAAGATTTTTTAAATTGCAGCATGCTTCTTCCGAATACACAATATATTCACTACTTTCTTAATCACAACTAATTTAGAACATTATTAGCAGTGAATCATTTCACGTTATCAGTTTATTGACGTAAAATTAGTGTCAGTTCCTTTCATGTCTCATTGTTCGTAATTAGTTACCCAAAGTGCTCAGTGTTTTGTTTTATCCTTCTTTTCTTAGCCCTTGTAGTTTCTCAATAACATGAAGTGAAAGTTACAATTATTTTTCAAGAATACGTGATATCAAGCACATAAATTAAATACTATTC